AACATCATGAAGAAAGATCGCCAACTCGCGCAATCAACTTTCGAATTGACAGTCAAACGGATGACTGATTTACAGAATAAAATACAAAAGGATGAAGATGAGATTTCTCATCTTAAACTTTATCAACTGTTCACCGCAATCGCAACACAATTGCTGAGTGTAACTACCAACGTGCAGTTTTACGAGTCTGCAATTTTAGGCGTTTTAACTGATACCAATCATGGTAAAATCAGTCCGCTTCTGTTGACACCAGTGCAGCTTAATAATGAAATAACTACGATTCGAGAGCATCTCAATCCAACCACGCGTCTGCCAGGGAATACGAGCAACATAGCTGAACTCTATTCATTAATGACCGTTACCAGCGGTCTAGTCGACACCAAAGTTTTGTTTCGGATAACACTGCCAATAGTCAGTGATCAAATATTTGATTTGTTCTCTGTAATTTCAATACCGGGGGTTAAAGACAGCATCTATCAGCAAATAACACCATGTACTACTCTAATAGCATTCACCGCTCACAGGAATGAATATTTCACCATGTCAGACTTACAGTTAAGTCAATGCAGAACGTTACAAGACGATCAGTATTTGTGTAGTAATACCCAAGAAGTATACTCTCCAGGTTCCGGCAAATGTGAGTGTGAACTTGATCTATTTAATAACTATACGGCATCCTGTTCCTGACAACGTTTTAATATGAATGCATTATGGTTCCAACCGATAGCACGAAATCATTGGGTGTTCGCGACGAGAGAACCTGTGAGACTAAACGTAGTATGTATCAAAGAGCAGTCACAAATAACATTGCAAGATACTGGATTAATGGAATTACCTCCAGGGTGTGTACTTAAACATACCACAACATCACTATATAGTCATTATACGTTGACTACTCGTTTAAAGTACTCTCATACGAGTTTCCATTCAGGTCCAATGAATACAACAACAGATCAACAACAACATCAGTCACCAAATTGGCAGAACACCAGCATTCCCATGCATGATGATGACATCAATCAGCTGAAAGCGGCTTTAAAGACATTTCAACAACAAGAAGAACTTCCTGCAAATGAAAGAGCACATCATCAACATCATTTTGTTATCGAGTACTTAGCACTTGGACTAAGTATATTAATACTATGCATTATCATAGTTCGATATACGCATAAACGAAGAAAGCGGAACAACAATCCAGTACCTCAACCCCGAACTCGACAACAACAAGCAAAATTCGAAGTAGACGTAGAAGCACAGATTTGACCGAAGTCAACAGGAGGGAGAATGTTAAGTTTCATATTAAATCTATTATCATTGTATCAATTATTATAATTGTTTTCTTATTATTGTATTATTATTGTCAATTATTATAATTGTATTCTTATTAGTGCATTAATTATATGTGTACATAAGTACCTAAATTAGTTCTTATGTTGTTTTTGTTGTTGGTGTTTATTTGTGTTATCAAACATTTAGCAATGTTGCTGGCTCTCACAACTAAATATTCGCACGCTAGCAGCGTGCCAGACGTAACATGATCATCTTCACACGCCACTGTGCAAGGTTGATAAGCATTATGTTCATTTTCTTTTATCGTGTGTTCGTTGTGAGTTGCAGCAATAGGCAAGCCGCTGCGACAATTCTGTTGTTCCCACAGGTGCAATATGAGTTGGCGCATGGCTTCAGTGATAACACATTTAAGTCACCAAATTTGTGAAGCAGGTTGATATATGGCAAAATACATATATCAGCTTGCTGGTTGCATTAAATAGTATAAGCATAGGTAATGCACATATTTCCCACGAATGCCCTTGGCCTTGAATGTTCAAAGTCCATCGGATAACAAATCGTGGGAACTGGGTGCATTTCCTCCTTTACCATAAGCTTAGTGTTAAGAATTTTGTATAAAAGCACAACATTTTTAATAAACATTTGATTCAATTTAACAACCTGAATACAACCAAGTGTTTTCTTTTGGTTTAAGTGCCTAAAAGAACCTTGAGCAAAGTCGGTTTATGTGCCGAATTTGAAAATCAATAATAAAAATAAAATAAACAAATAAATATCTATATATATATTTACATATATATCTAGATATCTATAAATTACGTAACTGGTTCATGTGCCGGATTACGTAAGTGAATTACTAAGCTGGTTAAAGTGCCGGATTAGTGAATCCGTATCAGACTAGATACGGAGGATAACATATCGTGAAAAGCTAAGCTGGTTCAAGTGCCGGATTAGCTTCAGTCCGTATCAAACTAGGTACGGATCATAACAGTAATAAAATTCTCGAGAAAGTTGAAATAGCCCTGACGCCAATTATAAAAAAAATTGTAAATAACGATGACAAAATAAAAATATTACAAAAATACCATGATGATCCAATCTGGGAAGGCCACCCAGGGATCACGCGGACATTGAATAAAATAAGACAGTATTATTACTGGAAAAACATTACTAAAGATGTCACTAAATATGTCAAAAAATGTGACAAGTGTCAAAGAAATAAATCTTTGACAAAAACAAAAACAGAAATGGTAATAACCGATACACCAACTGCTGCCTTTGATGTAGTTTTGATAGATACCATTGGACCATTTCCAAAATCGGAAAAAGGCAATTCATACGCAGTCACACTGATATGTGACTTAACAAAATATCTGGTATCGGTACCAATTGCAGAAAAAAATGCAAAAACAATAGCAAAAGCAGTATTCGAAAACTTTATACTGACTTACGGGCCTATGAAAAAAATTATTACAGACATGGGTACCGAGTATAAAAATAAAATTTTCGATGAAATATGCAATCTATTAAAGGTAGAAAATACTACGTCAACCGCGTACCACCATCAATCATTAGGTACAGTAGAACGAAATCATAGGACATTTAACGAGTACATAAGATCCTACATTTCCATAGGAAAAATGGATTGGGATGAGTGGCTACAATATTTTACATATTGTTATAACACTACACCTTCAATTGTACATGAGTATTGTCCTTATGAATTGGTTTTCGGTAAATCGCCCACCATCTATAACTTTCTTAACACTTTAGAAATAGATCCCGTTTATAATATTGAAGCGTACGACAAAGAAATAAAATTTCGTTTACAAAACGCAAATAAACGCGCGATAAAAGCAATAGAAAATAGAAAACAAATAAGTAAAAATTTATATGATAGGAATGCACTTAGTAGTAAAGTATCGGTAGGAGATTTAGTATTAGTTAAACAAGTAGGACATAAATTAGATAGTTTATATAAGGGCCCATTTAAGATAGTAAATATAGATAATAAAAATAACGCATTAGTTCAAGACAATAAGGACAAAATAAGTAAGATACACTTAGACAGACTTAGATTGTATAATAAATAAAAAAAAAAAAAAAAATTTTTAATTTATATGTATTGAATTTTTAAATATATTTCAAATAAAAAAAGAAAAACAAAACCCTACAATAAGAATGAGTTTATTCAAAAAAAAAAAAAAAAAAAAAAGAATAAAAAACAAAAAAAAAATAATTAATCATAAATAATACATTAGATTTAGGATAACATTATAAATGATATTGTTTAAGTATAAATATATATGTTGTAGTAGAATTAAAGAATAAATATAAATGGCTGGCAACCCTATTGATGACTAACGAATATAAAGAATAACAAATAAAGAATCAAGCAGTGTGTAATAAGAAACTAAATGAAGCGGTTGTGTTTTATTACTACAATATCAGGTGTGGGGTAAAATTCACGTGAAGATAAATAAATTATTCTAGCGACAATAGCGTGCGTACAAATAAGAATTAAGTTCGCGTTAAATTGCGCAAATCTACGATATATATATTAATCAGTTTTAAAAAAAATAATAATAAAATAATGGCTGATGCCTCAAGAGCTGCAATAATCGAGACATTGCGAAATATGAATATTTCATTTCCAGACACGGCAACATTAAGTCAACTTAAAAAATTAGTTGCTGGTGTTATTGAGGAAGTGGACGAGCGGTCCGATTCAACAATATTAGCAAATGCAACTTCAGAAATAGTAATAGCAAATGCGACTTCAGATGACAAAAGTGACGCCATCAATACATACAATAATAATGCCGCTATTGTGACATATACAAAACTCGATAAAAGTGATGCCAATGAAAATCAGTGCAGTGAAACCACAGCTAAAATGAAACATGCTGTAAACACCGGCAATGTAGACACTTCAGTTGACACAGATGAACTTAAGTTACGTGTTAAACTGCTGGAAAATCAAATAAGAATCATTGAGATGCAAAATCACATATCAATTAACTCTACCCAATATAAAGAAATGGAGCAAGTGTCAAAGAAATTCAGTGGCGATGATGACATGGACGTCATAACTTGGATTGTTGATTTTGAAAATGTATCCGCAGTGTACGGTTGGACGGAGAAAGTTAAATTGGCTTTCGCTCGTCGAATGCTTACTGGCACTGCTGAATTGCTGTTGGGTTTTACGGAAATCAATTATTGGGAACAACTTAAAGAATTACTTCAAAAAGAATTTACAAAAACCTTAGGTGTTAGAGATGTCTTTAAAAAGTTGGAAACACGCGCCTGGGATAAAGGAAATGAATCGCTACTGCGTTATGTGATAACGATGCAGAACATTGCGAGCAAAGCACCTGTGTCGGAGGAAGAACTAATTGAATACATCATAAATGGCCTTAAAGACAGATCAACAAATGTAGTTATGCTTTATGGAGCTACATCAATAGTAGAGCTTAAAAAACTGCTACTAAAATATGAAAAAATTACGGAAGTTACTAATGCAAAAAATATGATAAGTCGACCGTTTCAGAAATCACAGGTTAAACGAGATTTTCCTGTGGTTAACAATAATGCTACTAATGAAAATCATTCAAACGTGCAAAACAAGCCTGTACGCTGTTTCAATTGTTCGGGATATGGCCACTATGCTGTTGACTGTAAAAAGGAAAAACGTGGAAGAGGTTACAGCCGCATTAAATAAATATTTTGAATACTATAGTAGACCAAATAGATGCATAACAGATAGAGGAACTTGTTTTACCTCTAAAGAATTTGAAAATTATTTAAATAACAAAAATATTACCCATGTAAAAGTAGCTGTGCATTCGCCACAAGCGAATGGACAAGTTGAAAGAATTAACAGAAGCCTCGTAGGAATGTTAGCAAAATTAAGCGATCCTTTAGAACATGCTGATTGGGTAAAACAACTTCTAAAAATTGAATTCGCAATAAATAATTCAGTTAATAGATCAATAGGACTAACTCCAAGCCAAGCTTTATTTGGCATAAACCAAAGGGGTGAAACTGTCGATAAGCTGACAGAATATCTAGACGAATGCATTTCAGGCCTGGAGGGGAGGGATTTGGAACTTATCCGTAACTCTGCACAAAAGTGTATATCTAGAGTGCAGAAATATAACTTAAATCGAAGTAAACAAGTACAAAAAAGTGCTATTGAATTTAAGGAAGGCGATTTCGTAGTAATAAAAAACGTAGATACAACAGCAGGAACAAATAAAAAACTTCTGCCAAAATTTAAAGGACCATATGTTGTTCAAAAGAAACTTCAAAATGACCGCTACGTGGTAAGAGATATAGAAAACGCCCAAATAACACAAATCCCTTATGAGGGTATAATAGAAGCTTGTAATATAAAGTTATGGAAAGCTAAAGGTAATGCAATTGGTAATGCGGGCAACACTGTCCAATAAAATTAATACACATAAGTAAACTTGTAAATATACTATAAGTAATTTTAATTTAGATGTAATTAACTTGTTAGAAATATTCAAATTATGTTAATGTGATCGAGGTCGATCATATCTAGTCAGGTTGGCCGAGCTGTAGTAGAATTAAAGAATAAATATAAATGGCTGGCAACCCTATTGATGACTAACGAATATAAAGAATAACAAATAAAGAATCGAGCAGTGTGTAATAAGAAACTAAAGGAAGCGGTTGTGTTTTATTACTACAATATCTAAAATTATATGTAAAGTACATGATATTATGTAATTTTCATTCCTTTATTTGTTTCAAATAAACTCATTCTTAAAAAGAAGGGAGGTGTAGCGTATATGCATTGAAGATATACTTTGTTATAAACAGCAACATGGAATGTGCTTAGCTAGCATATTTATGTCGCTTATCGCCCAAGCAACAATATCGCTTGCGCAACAAAGTTATGTTATTAGATACATACCCATGCATGCATACTACTCCATAAACAACAATATTTTAATGCTTATATTTTAATGCTTACGTAGGCATATGTGCGGTTGTGCACAATACATTTTAAGGTAGTCTTAAGATTGTAATTTTCAGTAATAAAATAAAGATCTAACCATAAACTTGTGTACTATTATTTTCGCGAGCATAACAATTAAGAGCGGTAAAAATACTAGAAAATATTAAAGACTTTTCTGATTTTAAAACTAAAATTTTAGAGACTCATCTAATTGGTCTTCACCAAGAAATAAAAAATATAGTTAAAATTTTTAAAACTAAATACTATTATCCGAATTATGTTAGAGAAATAACAAAAATCAATAAAGAATGTGAGTTTTGCAATAATTACAAAACTGATCATATATCTCATAAACTCCCGTTTAAAATTACTCCCCCAACATATGAAACTCGTGAAAAATATGTTATAGATTTTTGGAATTGGGACAAAGAAAACTATCTCACATGTATCGACCTATATTCTAAATTTGCAATAGCAGAATCAGTAAAAAATTTTAATTGGATAGAAACGAAAAGAGCTTTATTAAAAATATTCAATACAATGGGTCCACCCAAAATACTAAAAATCGATCAAGATCAAGGAATAAATAATGTAAATATAAAACAATGGTATGAACAGCTCAATATAAAAATCGAACAGTCTCTGTTTATCATTCGTGCTAAATTGAAGTCGTTTTGTATTTCACGTCATTTCACGTTGTAGTGTTATTTTTTTCCCATCAAATCAAACTAATCTTAAAAACCTTCATTAAAATAATAAATAATAACTACAGCAACAACAAACATATTCCCCTCGCACTAAGCGCAAGCTAGTGCTCAAAAGTGGAACCATGAGTGAACCTCCAGATAAGTGCAAACAATCTAACCAATTGTTTTTTACCACCGACGCAACAAGTTTCGAAGCTTGATTGACGGTGGTGCAGACATTTCGATGATGAAAGAAAGCATATATAAAAAACATTTTGCAAATAAAAAAGTAGAGAAATATGAAGAAAATATTATTGGTTTTGGTGGTGCGTCAACAAAACCAATAGGCAGAGTTATATGCTGCATCGAACTAGATAATGTTGAAGTGGAACACTTCATAGTGATTGTGCCTGACTATGCGGCTAATTATGACGTCATTATAGGATATGACATTTTAAGTAAATATAGATATACGTCAGATGAGAACGGGTACAATTTCACTTCATTGATTTCGAAAATCGAACATGAAGAAAAAGAAATTATGAATATTTCCATAAATAAAGAGGAGGTAAGGTACGAAAAAGAAATCGAAGAATTGAAAAATAATTATAAGCCAATAAAAGGGAGTAAAAGTCCGGTCGAAATGAAAATTATATTAGCAAAAGAAAAACCGATATACGCATCGCCAAGCAGAAAAGCATCAGAGGAGGCAAAAATAATCACAAAACAGATTGAAGAATGGCTAAAAGGGAGAATTATTCGAAAATCAACGTCACAGTATTGCAGTCGAGTCGTATTAGCAGCTAAAAAGATGGAACAAAAAGAGTATGTGTCAAGTACAGACATCTTAATAAGTTGGTATTTAAAGACCAATACCCTACACCAAATATGAAAGATGTGGTGGACAAACTGGACGGTGCGGTGATATTTAGCGCTTTGGATATTGAAAGCGCATTCTTGCACCTACCAATTGAAGAAAGTAGCAGAAAATACACAGCGTTTGTAACGCAAGATGGTTTATTTGAGTTCAATTTTGCACCTTTTGGATTTTGCAACTCACCTGCAAATTTTATACGGTACATAAATTGCATTTTAAGACAGCTGATTAAGGATGGCATTCAAGCAATCTATATGGATGACATAATCATTTTCTCAAAAACAAAGGAAGAAAATTTGAAAAAGCTGGCACTATTTTTTGAAGTTGCGGCGGAATACGGTTTACGTATTAATTGGAAGAAATGCAAATTCCTGCAAAAAAGAGTTCAATTTTTAGGCGTAATTGTTGAAAATGGTACCATAAAGCCAAGCGAGGACAAAATTAAAGCGGTAAAAAATTGTCCAGTGCCAAAAAATGTAAGAGCAGTTCAATCGCTATTGGGACTTTTTGGATTTTTTCGAAAATTTGTAAAAGACTTCTCCATAATAGCAAGACCGCTGACGAACCTATTAAAAAAAAGCGTGAAATTCGTTATAGGCGAAGACGAGTTAAGGGCGATACAACAATTGAAACAAATGCTAACTAATCAAACGGTGCTAAGAATTTTTTACAAATCATCGAACGGAGTTACATACGGACGCATCCAAAGATGGATTTGGCGCTATACTCTTGCAAGAATTTGAAGAGAAATTACATCCGGTGTATTTTTGGAGCAAAAAAACAACAGTTGCAGAGGCCAACCAGCATAGCTACGTATTAGAAACAAAAGCAGCATTTTTGGCGATGAAGAAACTACGACATTATCTACTGGGCATCGAGTTCGACCTAATTACGGATTGTAACGTATATAAATACACAACAGCAAAAGAAGAAATATCTTCATCAGTATCTCGGTATATAATGTACATGCAGGATTTTAATTTTACAGTGAAGCATCGGAATGGTAACCAAATGAAACATGTAGACGCGCTGAGTAGATATGCAGTGTTAACAGTGGACACGAAAAATGAATTACATTTACGGCTGGAAAAAGCTCAAAAGTGCGATGATCACTGTAAGGCAATTATGGATATACTGGAATCGAAACAGTATATGGATTACAAGAAAATCGGCAACGTCTTATATAAAGAAGCAGACGGATTGAATTTGTTAGTGATTCCACGTAGCATGGAAAAAGAAGTTATAAAAACAGTTCACTATCAAGGGCACTTTGGTATTATGAAAACTTCACATCAAATAAAGCAGCTGTACTTTATTTCACATCTCGCTCAGAAAGTTGCTAAAATAATCAAAAATTGCGTCAAGTGTATTTTGTTCAATAAGAAGCAAGGCAAACTGGAAGGGTTTTTGCACACAATCGACAAAGGAGAAACACCTCTATGCACACTACATATAGATCATTTAGGTCCAATGGACGCGACATCGAAGAAATATAAACATATTTTGGCGATGGTAGACGGTTTCAGCAAGTTCGTATGGCTGTATCCAACAAAGTCTACGGGTGCTGACGAAGTGTTAGTAAAAATCGAGCAGTGGCGTAAAATATTTGGAAATCCAACACGCATAATAAGTGATAAAGGGTCGGCTTTCACATCTAAAATATTCACTGAATTTTGCGAGAAGGCACAAATCGAGCACGTGAAAACAACAACAGGCGTACCAAGAGGAAATGGGCAGATAGAACGGGTCAACAGAACGATTATTAACATCATATCAAGACTATCGTGGAAGTGTCCAGAAAAATGGTATTGCTTTGTGGATGACGTGCAGCGAGCAATTAATAAATCTGTTCACAGATCAACAAAGTTCTCGCCTTTTGAAATTCTTTTTGGGGTGAAAATGCGAGATGATCCAATAGATAACAATGTTTTACAAACTATACAAGATGAGCTTGTAGAAAAATTTGATGATGAACGCAACACTCTTCGGCAAGAAGCAAAACAGCAGATACAACATATACAAGCCGAATACAAGAAAACATTTGACAAAAAACGAAAGCTTGACCGGGTATATAAGGTAAGCGATTTAGTCGCAATTAAACGCACTCAGTTTCTTTCAGGAAAAAAATTGGCAAACGAGTACATAGGTCCCTACGAGGTTACAAAAATAAATCGTAATGGTAGATACGAAGTTCGTAAGGTGGGCAATTTTGAAGGACCAAACACAACTTCAACAAGCTGCGACTATATAAAACTATGGCGATATGCGGAGGTGGATGATGAATTGTCATCCGAGTCGGATGAGGAGTCGGATGAGGAGTCGGATGGCCGAGCGTAGGCAGTAATTCACAAGCCTGGCAACTCTGCGTTTAACTAAAAGAAGAAGCAACTAGAAAAAGAAGCAGTAGTCAGTAGCTGTCGAGAAGTCGTCGAAGGTTGATGTCGGAAAGTGGTCGTGTTCGTGCTCGCAAGTTTAAAGCTAGAATATATTTTAATAATAATTAAATAACTTTGAATTAACTAATAAATTGTAATAACTTTATTAAATAACTTTGAATTAACTAATAAATTGTAATAACATTAAGTGAAATAATAAACTTTATTTCCTACATATATATAATACAGTATTTAGTTTATAAGTGTAAATGTAAGGAGTTAGCATGAATGTAAGTAATATTTGAATTTTTTTATAATTATAAGTGGACAGAATCGTATATTACTTTAAACATGACTAAGAATGTATAAATTTTTCAATCCACTCTGATGAGTCTGAGTAGTTCCCAGACGAAATGCGTCAGTGGTAACTGTTAGAGGACTGAGATTTTTAGCTCCCGAAAAGGAGTTCGTAGGTTTCAAATCCATTTTGTACGGACGTTTGTATGGACAGATGAGACTTTTAGTATTTAATATTTAATTTTAATTTAATTTTTAATTTAGTTTTTTAATTTTTATTTTTTATTGTAATATATG